CCCAGTGCCAGAGGGTAGGGTTAGATGGGATATTGGAATTGTTCCCTGGGAGGGTGGGGAGGGTCTGGGAGGGAATTCCCAGAGAAGCTGTGGCTTCCCCAGATCCCTGGCAGTGCCCAAAGGCCAGGATGGACAGGGCTTGGAGCACCCTGGGATAGTGGAAGGTGTACCTGCCATGGCAGGGGGTGGCTCTGGGTAGGATTTAAGGTCCTTTCCAACCCAAACCATTCTGGGATTCTCTATGGACACAACCCTGATCTCCCCCATACACTGAAGCAGCATCACCCCCACCTGACCTCTGTGGTCTGCCTCAGTCACCATATTTAAGCTACACAAAATAAAAAGAGGGGGAAAAAGCAGAAAACCTATACAGAGCTGCAAGATTCAGTAGCAGAGATGGATTTGTAGTAGAGATGGATTTGTAGTAGAGATGGATTTGTAGTAGAGATGGATTTGTAGCAGAGATGGGTTTGTAGCAGACATGGGTTTGTAGCTGAGATGGGTTTGTAGCTGAGATGGTTTTTAACACCCCAGAGGGTTCATGGGTCACACAAATATATGTGATCTGATTCCTATGGTGCTGGCACTGATGATGCAGAGTAAATAACACATGTTTTTACAGTCTGGCAGGTTCCAAAACCCTCTCTGCTGTCCATCAGTGAAATGAAGCATGACATCAGGGCTGGTTTTTAAACAACCCATAATCAGGCAGCTCTTATGACAAATGACAAAGTCAAATTACAGTTTTGAGAATGAATTAGCACTTACTCACCAGGAGGGATGTGGCAAACTTACCTCTCAGAGCGGAAGAAACTTCCAGCTGACAAGCAGGAAAATAAAAGATGCGGGAAGAAAATGCAATCCTGATATTTCCAGAGAAGAGTGGTGAAATACATAATGGCAAAAGATCTCGGGAGGCTCACAGTACATTTTATTTTATTTACTTTTACAAAAAGCAATTGTATTGTGCTACTGACACTTGAGTCTCCTCAACCTTTGGAAAACAAAGCAGGAATTGCAGTGTCATTTACCCAATCCATGATTCAAAATGCATTAAAAGACCACTTGAAGCTTTTTTTACTGTTCCTCCAGCACAGACTGCAGGGGGACAGCATAAGGTGATGCCTTTAAACTTTAATCAGGTTTGCTACGACTTACAACTTAATTCCTGACAGTGTGCAAAAGAAGATATTAAGGCCAGTGAACAGCATAGAGAATTAATTTCAAGGGTGAAAACTTAATATATTAGCTGCTGTTCACCGCCCAACTCTCCTATAGGACACCTGGATGGCACCTGTGATTCTACCTGGTCTGGAGTGAGAGGACTGGAAAAATTTGCTCTGAGAATTAGGTGCAAAAATTCTGCTTTCTCAGCCCTGGTTGGTGGTGTCCAGGTGTCCAAACTTTAACTGACATGAACTGGCAGTCACCAAATGGCCAAGGATTGAATGGAAATGCTCATCCCAGCTCCACCTGCTTTCCCTGTGCTTACTGCTCTGTAGGGAACGTGTACCACACACCCTAAAAAAGAGATAGTTCACTACTCTTGTTTAATCTCATTATTAATTATGGTCATTGTTAAAAAAAAAAAAAAAAAACAAAAAAAACAAAACAAAACAAAACCACAAAATCTTTGTTTTATTTCTCCTTTGAGTTCATCTGACCTGAGCTGTCCATTCCGAGGGCTCAGTACTGAACAAACTACTTTGTTACCAGGTTTGAAAATGCCTCCTGCTCATTACCAGATCCATCAGCTGCTGAGACTGATCACAACAACATCAGTGAATATTAAAGGTTTGCAAGAAAGGGACACGTTCTTAGGATTCTGTGGGGAGGAACATAATTCCTCAAGGATTTGGAAAATATTTTCCCCCTATTCCTAGATACTCGGGTAGCCAACAGGAAAGATTAGGGAATATTTCTGAGCTACAGAGGTAACTGTGTGGCTGCAATAGAAGGACAGAGATTTCGGTGGCCCCTGAGTGTCAAACACGCCCTACAGGGAGGCCGGAGGGGGAGTTTTTACCAGGGCACGCACTGATAACACAGGGGGGAATGGCTTTGAGGTGAAGGAGGGTGCACTTGGATTAGATATTGGGAAGAAATTCCTCCCTGTGAGGGTGGTGAGGGCCTGGGATGGATTTCCCACAGAAGCTGTGGCTGCTGCATCCCTGGAAGTGTCTGTGGGTAGGTTGGAGCACCCTGGCGTAGTGGAAGATGTCCCTGCCCATGGCAGAGGGTTGGAATTAGAAGACTTTTCATTTCTCTTCCAATCCAAACCGTTCCATGATTATCTGAAAGTCAGTGTTTAGTGGGATCTGTAGATAGCAAATTCTCTGTGCTGTTAAAGCTCCTTCATTTTTTTTCACTGTGTTATTCCAAGGCAACAACGAGTGTCTCCACTGATGAACCAAAAAAGGCTACATTAATAAATTAACATGCAGATCCCACCCCAAAAAAAGAGCAAGGGACAGACTCTGACACTGGCTGTTTTCTATTTTTATCAGACTTTGGCACAGCCATTGCATTCCATCTGGAGAGAGCGAGGAGTTGCAGCAAACAGGAATTGTTATTGTTTACCCATTTTTACACTTGACCTCACACAGCTGATTCCCTAAACCAGGATTTGGTTCACTTTTTCTCTCACCACAAAATGGGAAAGCAGCAGATACACCTCATTTAAATGAGGAAACAAACAAAAAAATTGAGCATGATTTGGGCATTTAGAAGCCTTTCGTTATTTTTCATCTGCCAATGACTTCAGCCAGAAAGTTATTTGAGAATGTTATTTAGTTGTTTTTCACTAAAGGAGAGAAGCATTAATTTGCTGAGAAAAAATTTAGGTTGTGAATATGTGTGCTTGCTTGTGCTTCACTGCAAAACAGCATTTGTTTTCTTTAGCAAAATCTTTTTGGTCTTAAAATCTAGTTGACACTGAAAGTAATCATGAAACTGCTCTACCTGGTCCAGCTTGGAGCAACCAGAAGCTACCACGGAGGCAGTGAGACCCATGCTTTGTGCCCATGTCATATCTGAGGTTGTAATCAAAGGTTCAGCTGCCCCAGTACAGAGACAGAGCTCCTGTGGCATGTTCTGCACTGCCTGGGGAAGAGACAGCTTTGGGAAAGGCTTAGTGCCCCTAAAGAGGCTCCAAGAGAGCTGGAGAGGGACTTGGAACAAGGCCTGGAGGGACAGGGCAAGGGGAATGGCTGCAAACTGACAGAGGGCAGGGGTGGAGGGGATATTGGGAAGGAATTTCTCTCTGTGAGGGTGGAGAGGGGCTGGGACATAATTCCTAGAGCAGCTGTGGCTGCCCCTGGATCTCTGGAAGTGTCCAAGGCCAGGCTGGACAGGCCTTGGAGCACCCTGGGATAGTGGATAGTGTTCTTACCCATGGCAGGGGGTGGCACTGGATGGGTTTTAAGGTCCCTCCCAACCCAAATAATCCTGCGATGATCCTGACTTGGTGTCACTTCTCTGCTGCTGTAGCACACACACACCACCTGGTCTGAGGTCAGAGACTCCTGCAAGGCTCCTCACCCTGCCCCGTGTCCTGTCCCCTCCCTGGCAGCAGTGTCCCTGGGCCATGGGTTCTGCTCAGGGTGCAGAAGCTGCTGCCACCACAAGATCGCTCCACGTTTCCCTGCAGATCCCGTGCTCAGCAGGATGAGCAGGTTATTAATCACCCTGCAGCAGGAGTGCCTCTGGCCCAGGCAGGATTTTGATGCATTCCCACATAGGCAAAACCACCGTAAGAATTGCTGTGGCCACTTGAAAGCATTTGCTGCAAGTGCTGCAGCTTTGTTTGACAAAGACTGAGGAAAAAGGTTCGAGCAGTTGAGCAGCTCTCAGATTTCAATCAGAACATCCTCAGAGGGCATTATCAGTTTTCCTCGGCCAGGAGAGGTCCAGGGAACAGATCAATCCCTGTAAAGCTTAGGAGCTGCTCCCAGACATGGTTAAACTGCAGAGGATGATGGATGCATCGATGCCTGAACCTTCCACAGTATTTCTTTCCACATGCTTACAGTTTTTCCAGGGGAAACATGAAGACAAGCATTTGTTAGTGCTAAAAGTCCTGCTAATTATAAATTTGAGTATAAATTCCAAAACAAGTCAATTTTGCTTCTGGGATTTTTTTGGTTTTTTTTAATAAAACCAAAGATTTGGCATCAGGAAAAACATTTGCAAGATTTTAAATCAGCAGATAACTCATCATTCTATAGAAAAAGAAATGTCGAAGTATTTTCTTTACTAAGGAAGTAGCAAAGAAAGTTCTTGCCCTTTGAATCATCTTTGGAAGGTAACATTGCAAGTACATGTCAGAATATGTGTGTATATAAATAATTTTTTTAAAAAATTAAAATTAAAAAATATATACACACATCTCATGGCTGCCTATGAGAACCTTCCCAGTGTTCCTTGATATGAGAAGGAAACTTTCCTTTAATTTCTCTCAAATTTAGATGCATTCCATGAGGCAGGGTATGGATAGTTAGATTTTCTGAAGGTTTCAGGGAATATCAGTACCCAAAACTTCATAATTTCAAAGACTTTTAGCTGTAACACAGTCAACTCTAACCCCTTTTTTCTCTAACCCTTCTGAAATGGTGGGATTTTCTTGCCATCTGAAGCCCCTTCTGATGACCTCCAAGATATTGCTGTCATTTAGGTAATTAATCTTGAATTAGGAGTCCCTGAGGAAGAAATTTTCCTCTATCCCTGGAATCAGCCCTCTGGCTGCCTCTTCAGCTGTAAATGGGAATATAATTCTTGTAATTATAAAATAGCTCTCTTGACTTATTTCTGATGGAACATCCATGCAATTGCATCACACCACAGATCCTGAAACACTTGTTCCTGCAGGAATTGTGTTTCCAATCATAATTTTTTCAAGACGGAACAGAATCCTATTTATTTTTTCCAGTGTTTTAGTTTCTTTGGTTACCTGCAATTCCTCACTGCCTCTGCCCTAACACTCTGCGTATTTTCCATTTTAGGCTCTTTCTTTCCTGCAATCAAACCCCCGGACACACTTTTTAAAATAACATTTTGGCTGGGTTATTTAAACAGCTGCATCAACCCCATCATCTATCCATGCTCAAGTCAAGAGTTCAAGAAAGCGTTCCATAACGTCCTGAGAGCTCAGTGCCTCCTGAGGAAGCAGCCAGCAATGAAGCAAACCCCCAGCTTCAACCTCAACCATCCTGCAGGCCAGAGCATGGAGAGTGGCAAAGGGGTGGTCCGGATCCCTGTGGGATCAGGAGAAACTTTCTACAAGATTTCCAAGTCAGACGGGGTCTGCGAGTGGAAGATCTTCTCCGCCGTGCAGGGCGTGCCCACCAAAAATGCCATTTCCAAAGACTGCACAGGTGCCAAAGCCAAGAGCAAAGGGTTCCTGCAGGAATGCTGCTGTGCAGGCACTTCAGGGAGTCTCGTCCATGAGAACTGCAAAGTGCCGACCATTAAAATCCACTCAATCTCCCTGAGTGAGAGTGGGGAGGATGTATAACCGGCTGGGTGCACCAGGTTGGAAGCTTGGGGGCCTCATGGGATGTCACTCTTTTTATGGGGAAGTAGGAATAGGCATGACAGTTGAAAGGATCCAGGTATGAACAAGTGAAACAGGGCCAAATCTTTAGAGGAAGGATGTCTGTGAGTGCTGGGTGCATGAATGGAGCCCCTCAAAGATAGTGCATGGCTTCAGTGGATGTTATTCTGAGAGTCCAGCATCTGCCAGGCGTTTCCTTGGCATTTAAAAGCGTTATCCCTTTATTCTCCTCCTTTAAAGGTCACACCGCTCTCATTTAGGGGCAGTGGAGGAGAAAGTGAGAACCACAAAGACCCTGTGCTGATTTCAGCCTTGACACTCTGTGGCAGCTCCACCTTCAGAGCCATTTTGTGATTCCACCCCTCCCCATAAAGCCAAACCTCACCTGTGGATTTCAGTCAACTCCATTGACAAGGAAAACTTGATCCAAGTGACTGCACTCCACTAAGCTTCAGAGACCAAGGAGAACTTTTCCTTTTTGTCCTTATCAGCCTCCCTAATCTCCATACCACACCAAACAAAAATTTGCATGTGTACTTGGTTTGTTCAGGTGATCCCTGTGCCTCAATGCAGGTCTAATAAAACTCAGAACTAGGTAAGTCCTTATCAAACAAGGCTCAAAGAACTCATTTGCATTCATCCTTTTGTTTTTCATCTTCTGAGTCCATCAGGAACCTGCTGAAAGGCTCAGTAATTCTTTGCTTGGGTTCTCAATAGCCAGATCAGTGCCACAGTCACTGGAAAAACTACAGATCTTTCCTGTCTCCCTGCCCAGTGTTTTGCTGCATTCCTTTTCCCGACTCCTTCAAGTCGGGAAGTGACCAAGTGCTCAAAGCTTTCTGTGAGATCCTGGTACTCTGGAGTCAGAAATTTTCTCCTTCTTCCAAGCAGGGGGAGTTAAACATGTTAAAAGGCTTAAGGATGTCCATCCCCATGAGAAAGGGCCATCCCTTGGGAATTTGGGAGCAAAGAATTTGGAAGCATGTTGTATTTTAATACAGCTAATCCAAATAAATAAATAAATGAGATGGCCAGCATCTGGAAGAAATAGTGGGAGGAATTCTCTGTACAATATTAGAAATAAGCCGCTCTTGACATAACTCCTCCTGAGCCTGCCAAGTAAGAATTCAGCTCCTTGAAACAGCACACTAGCCCCTGCTCTTGTCTGTGTCAGCTGCTGTGCTGAAGATCCACTGCCTTGAAAAGGGAAACGGCTCAACATAAGGGTCATTATCACAGGACAGGGTCTTGAAACAACACCTTGCTTGTGTTCATGAGAAATCGTTGCTTATTTATCTCTCGCTCAGTATTAAGTCCCCAATGTCAAGAGGATTTGTCTCCTGTGTCTTTTTTATTTATGCACTCACAGAACACAAACCTGTTGCATGATCCCAGTTTTAGCTCAAATAAGAAATCCACCTCACACTTAAGGTTCTTCAGGCCTAGAATTTGAAGCTAAAAGTGTGGAAATACTATGTAAGAAAATATTCTCATGGTGCTTCAAGCCAAGAGCAGAAGGAGACAAGCTGGAAATCTCATAAGAAAGTCACGTGAGACTCATGGTCAAGGTTCCCAATCTCACAGGGTTCAGATACGTGGGACGTGTATTTGGACAAAACCTGAATTTTGAAACATTTTCAAAAAACACTTCTTAAATTGAGCAGGACTGGTAAGATTTAAAGTCTTCACTGCACACTCTTGGTGCCCAACCCTGTCTTATTCTACAACCAATACTTGTTTTATGACCAATAAGACCCTTTTTGCCATATCTTCTTTGGAGTTGGGAGATTTACACAGGGTTGCTGCAGTAATTTCAGATTTATTGAGGTTTCACAGTGTCAGGCAAGGAGTTATTGTGGAGCTACACATGGAGGCTTCCACAACTGGATTAATTAAACTCCAGAGCAATTCTGATGCAGCAATATAATCTGACCCCGTAAGTTGAAGATAAATAAGTCAACCTACTGCTGGCAGTGTCAGGATGGACATGGATGTAGCACGGTTCTCCTGCGTGGCAGAGACAGAGGTTGGAATAATGAAGTTTTGGTCTCATCTTCATCCTTTTTTTTTTGTCATCAAACAGATTCTAAAGAATGTCGCTGTGTCCAATGACTCTGAAAAGCTCCTAGCCCTCAGCATCAGGTGAGCCTGGTCCCAGCCACACCTCTGCTGCTGCCAGGTTTGCCAGCAACAACAAACACATAATTTGTTTGGCTCCCTCAGAGAATTTCTGCAGGAAAACTGCCCTGTTTCCTTGTTGCAAGAAGGGTCATTGGCACTTGTCATTTGTCATTTTGGTGGATATTTGGACTGAAAAGTTTCAAAAACCATAGAAGGAGATCTAGGAAGCAGAAGAAAAAAAAAGGAGTGCAGATTCAAGCAGCCCATATTTTCCTGTTATTTAAAGTGAATTTGGCACTGGTGAAAGAGCTGCAGTCACAGAGGCTGAATGTATCTGTCTGTCTAAAAGCATGAACAGGACAAGAGGTTTTCCCAGAGGCTGGACATCAATCATCACTTGTAAAACCTTCCCAGCATAAGGATTCTGTCTTGTGAGACCTTGCCGGAGCACAGAGCAGAAAGCAGAGTGGCCAGATGGAAAGTGAGCACAGTGGAGTGCCAGGAGTTCCCCTCAAAACCACATCCAGTGATCCACACTGACCTGGCAGTGATCTCTCCTGCCTGAAACCTCCAAGGGATGGCTCTGACATCCCACCATCCTCTTGGGTCAGGGTTTTCTCTTTGGAGTGACAGCCAAGATTTCCATGTTGGGTGGAGCACAGTCTCTGCTGCACAGGGTTGAGAGCTGGAGCATCAGAGATGATCCTAATTTGCACAGCCTGAGGTGAAGGAGATCACCGACCCCTCTTCATCCCAGGGTAGTGAAAGTCCAGTTTCCACAGTCAATTCAGACGTACTCTCTGATGTTTTTGAGGCTTCGTGTACTTTGCAAGATTTTTCAAACCCAAAATATTTAAGTTCTGCCCACTATCCAAATAAATGTCTTCTCATTTTTATATTCTTTATTTCTCTCTGCCAACTCCAAGGATAAATTGTGTGTTGTGTAAAAGAATATTCTCCTTTGCCAGGCCTTAATGTACTGGAAATCCATAGCACTGAAAAGAAGAAAGATTAAGGCAGGAATATTTCTTTCTTCTCTACTTGGAGTAAGCAAATGGATTTCACAAAGATTCTTTTAAAAATTTCCCTGCCTGACTTTTTCAATGTTCTGAAAGGCAAAACTGACAGGCTGCAACAACTTGTACTGATTGAAGTCAGTTAAAAAAGATCTTACTGCTTTGCTGAAGTGGAAGTGCCCATTTCTAGGTGTGCCTGTTGGCCTTGAGCTACTGTTGCTCATGGCTCATTGGGGTTTTATTAGGCACTACATTTTAAAATAAAGCTACTGAGGCACAGAGCAACTCAGTGATTCATCCAGCAAGGTTTCAGCTGTCCCAGGCTGAATCCATACTGGGTAATTAACTCCACATCCTACCCAGAGATACCTTGACCCTCTTTCCTGTCTTAATGTGGTTTGGATAAGCAAGACAATGTTGAAAATGAACTCAAAGAGACAGTCTGTTGGCACCAATTTTTCCTGGATGATCTCTTCTGACATCAGAGTCAAAGAAAAAAGCCAGTTAGTATTCAAAGTGTTGCACTTAGCTGCAGGCAAATTTGGGACCTGCACCAGTGTTATCCTTTGCCAGAAAAAATCCAACAGGTCATGAGACAGCTGCTCTCACAGCAGCATCTGCTTTCTGCGTGCACCTCTCACACACTCAAATATTTGTGAAGGTATTTCATATATGACAGTGCTACAAAAACCACAAGACACTATAGAGGTAGCCTGTGGTGCTTTAAAATACACATCTTCCCCCCAGCTTGACAGATGTAATTGAATCTCTGATTTCCCAGGAGGAGATGGAGAATTTGTCTCAAGGATTGGAGTGAAATGTCATTCCTTCTCTGCAGAGCACACTGCATATTTCTCATGCTGACAGAGAAGGAGAAAATAGCAAATGTGAGCTAAGGGGAAATGAATTGCTGAGGAGGAGAGCTATGGACGGCTACAATCACGTGAGAAATAACACATCTGTCAGTCCCACAATAGGCTCAAGGCTCCACTTAATGAACATTTCTCTCTCAGTGCAACACTGGGCTCAAACCCAGGATGAGTAACAGCCTCTCCTTTATCATCATGGTAACATCAAGGTCTTTTTCAGAGTCAAAAACCTCCTCATGTTAATAGTGAAAATAAACATGATTTTACAGCTCAACATCTCATCCAAAGAATGAGACTTTCTTGCATTAATCCAAATTTTTTATCAGGTGCCAAAATTCAGCTCTAGTAAACTGTTTTCTGCAGCAGGAAAACACAAACCTGCCTAGCATTTCAGCATATTTCCATTTTCAAAGCAAGTCCACTCTACCAGTGATGGAAAACCTCCCTGAATTTCACTGAATACTCAATTCTTCCTGACAGTACGACTGTGGGAATTGTATACAAGCTGATTTGGGTTGGTTTTTTGTGGTTTTTTTGTTTGGGTGGTTTTTGTTTTTTGTTTTTTTTTTGGGGGTTTTTTTTTTTTTTTTTTTGTTTTTTTTTTTTTTGCTTTGCCAGTCTTTGGTTGCAAAAAAATGGTTTTGGGTTTTTTTTTCTTCTGCCTGCAGCAGTTTTTTGCCTGCATGTTGTACAAGTTTGGCTGGTTTTAAAAGATTTCTCCTGAAACAGGCACTTCATTTTCTGAATGTGGGATTCTTGTGTCATTGAATTTTCTATGTGCTGTTTTCCAGCTTTATCATGTTTGAACAGTTCATGCTGGTCATTTCCCTGAACAAAATACTGAATGTATATGAAATCTTGCTAAGGTGAACAAATAAATTATTGGAGGGAATGTGTACTTTGGGATATGTGAGCTGTTAGTCTGATTGGTTGGTTTTTTCCTCCAAATTATTCATACAGATTTGTCTTCTCCCTTTCAACAAACATTTCAGATAGAGGATCAGGTAGAGATTCTTCCCAATACTTCTGATCTTAGTGGGGTTTAGTAGGAGCAAGGTGCAAAGTGAATAAAATAATTAAACTTATATTTCTACTGTAAAAAGTTGAAGTTCTTAAAAAAACTTCAAACAATTTCATTTGGACCCCAGGTCCTTACTCTGCTCTTTCAGTTTGCTTACAGTAAAACATCAGGTCCGAGATGAAATCCAGCTCATTTTGCTGTATTCCTTATAAACAAACACCAGCAGAACAATCCTTGTCCACCCAAGAATGTAAATGGAAAAGACAAGTGCTGAGTTATTATTTCCTGATTTATAAAGGGAGAACTGAGACACAGGGAAGGAAAAGACAGATTTCAAAAACAGCTGATGCACCAGGAACCTTGAAAGCCCTGACTGTGGTTGCCTTTAGTGAAAACCTGGGAAATTTCATCCAGGGAAACTCTGGAGAAAATTTTAAATGGAAGAAAAAACAAACCAAAATCAAACCTTAGTTGTCCTCCTGCTTCTTCCATAGGTCTGTTCTCTTTCTGGATTAAAATGTGCATTTATCCTGAATAATTTCATGCTGCAGTAGAGTCTGGGAGCTTCAGCAAAGGACCAGGATTTGGTCTTTAATAGACACAGACCTTGCTCTAAAAAATTCCCTCATGAACTTACAGGCCACAAAACCCATTGCAACTCTAAGGAATAATTTGGAGTGTCAGAATGCCCTTGTGACCACCAGATTTGCTGTCAGATAAAATA